GCGCAAGGCCTCTGCAAAGGGGACGCCTGCCCCGACTCGCGGGCACAGGGGCAGCTCCGCCCTCTCGGCCCGGAACAGCGGAGGAGCAGCTGCGGTTGCCTCAGGACCCGCTGGCCGGGCCACCCAGCCCGAGGCCGACGAGCCCTGGAGCTGCCATTCCCCGGCGCGCCGCGCTGGACGCTGCCATCGGCCGGGGCCCCGAGCCTGCGCCCGGGGGACGCTGCGCTGCGCTCGGCGCGGGGGACGCCCGCGTGGGGAAGGGAGGCCCAGCCACTTCTTGAAGTCGTTGCGTGTGGTCGAATTTGCTGCGGAGCCGTATGCAGGAGCAAGGGCAAAAGCTCCCTCAAAACGGAGAGAGCAGCGTGGGCTTCAGGTTCTGAAACACCCCACTCATTCAACGCCCCACGTGCACGATGGTCACCATCTCCCATGCGTATCCCACTCGGGGCCGCAGAATCGGACAGCGCGACATGGCCTTGGAAATGGATGGAGCAGATCCCTTCCTTTTACGGAGACGACCCAGAGAGGGTCGGTCACACAACCACTAGCTGGAGCGAGTTCTTGAACTTGGCCTGAAGAAAGCCTAAATGGAGTAGGGAAAAGACAGATAACTAATCCTCAAATTCCTTTCAGTTTGGGAATTGAAGCCAATGTTTAGACTCTGTGAGGTCAATTAGTGCAATAAACACCGGGAAGGACCACACAGAAGACACGAAAGAGATGCAAAGTAGTGGCCTCAGCTTAGCCGAGAACAATTGGAGCCCTAAAATGGAAACAGGGAGGTAGATGCAACTGCAACTGTGTAATGCCTTTCCTACAAATTTAGCTGTCCAGAGGGGAAAGGCGACTATAGGTTGGGGGTGGAGTTTTCCCGTGACATTGTCAGTAGCCAAACCTGGACCCAGTGGGGGACCCTGTGTTAGCCTCCCCTTATCGTGGTGAGCACCTGTTCTTTGCGTCATACCCCTGCCCTGGCTCCTTGCTGGAGCATGCATGTGGTTTCCATCCACTCAAATTAGCATCATTCCAACCTAAATAAATCAGCATAATCCCACTCCCTGCCACATTTATTGGTTGGTGGTGGTCATGACACAATCGGAGCCAATGAGCGGAGCAATGTATTGGGGGATTTAGGAATCGTTGTTCTTTGATATTCTGACAGAGCTTCTGGGGCAAGTCCTCTTTCTGCAGATGCTTTTAAAAGCAAGCAAGTGAGCAGCTCCTGAACAGTGGGCAAACATCTGGCCACAAGGGCCAGCCCTATACCAATAAAGCCGGCATCAAAGCCAACGTTTTAGCTTAGCAGTGTTTCCTTATACAAGTACAATGGTCCTTTTCTTTCTTTCTCTCTCTCTCTCTTTCTTTTGGTGGACAAGATTAGATCATTGTTAACGTTTTATTTCAATGGTAAGATTCTATGCCTCCGTGATGAAACTAAAGCACTCTTGGGGAAGAAGAAAGCATGTTACCCCATCTGAGCGATTCACTTGGTTTTCAAGAGAACAAAAAAGCCAACTTCCCTGCCCTTCTACAACAAATTCAGAGGAAGAAGCAGCTATCTGCCCAAACCCTCGGTGATGGGCTCCTTCAGCCCTTTGAGAGCTAACTGGTAACAATTTTCACATCTGTTAAGGCAATTTTATTTTACACTTTTTTTTCCTCATTAGACTGTAAACCCCTTGAGGACAGACACTACTGTGTGTATCTGTCTCATACCATGTGCCTAAGTTAGGCCAAAGAATACAATAGGCACTCTAGTATGTGGCATTAGAGGATGAACCTATTTTTCATACTGTAATGCCGTCTCTGTTTCATTTTTCATGGGGGAAGATTATTCCCACCAGAGGATATTGTTAATAGCCCTGAAGTATGTGAAAGAAAAAAGAATATCAAAACTCCCCATACTATTAACTCCAAACACCAAACTTCCTGTCATCGAGTTGATGCCGACACATATCCACCCTATAGGACAAGGAAGAACTGGCCCCTTTGAGGTTCTGAGACTATTAACTATAAAAAGCCCCATCTTTCTCCCTCAGATCAGCAGATCATTAACTCAGCAAGTAAATAGGCTTGCCCTCATACAAGTGCAGTGGGAAGGGGATTACTGATGACATTGTTAGGTTAAAATTTAACAAATTATCTTTTGTTTTCTCTTTTTGCCAATTTTTAATTTGTTCTTGTTTTTATTGTCTTCTTTCTGTTGGACTGAGGTTTTTCTATTTGCCAATGAAACTTTTTTTACAAAATAAAGTTAAAAAGTGTAATAAAGATGAGAATTTTACTGGGGGAATAAAAAACAATAGCAAACGGGAAGGGTTTTCTTTATTCACTTTGTAACCAATTTCTGAGCTTAACTATGTTGAAAAGTACAGCCACAAACAACCAAGTAATACACACTCAGTGGTAATTAATTGTACTGTTTCTATAGTATCTACTAATCAATATCAACAAATCAATACTGGAAAATATTTAATGC